CAAAAAGTACTACTAAATAAATGCTGGAGAGGGTGTGAAGAAAAGAAAAATACTCTCTTACTGTTGGTGGGGAAATGTAAAATTGGTGCAGCCACTATGGAGGACAGTACGGAGGTTCCTTAAAAAACAAAAAAATAAGAGTTACTATATGATCCAGCAACCCCATTCCTGGGCATATACCCAGAGGAAACTACTTTGAAAAGATACACACACTCCAATATTCACAGCAGCACTATTTGCAATAAGGAAGACATGGAAGCAACCTAATGTCCATCGACAGACAACTGGATAAGAAGATGTGGTATATATGTGAGTGTGTGTATATATATATATATGAATATTACTCAGCCATAAAAAAATGAAATAATACCATTTGCAGCAACATGGATGGACCTAGAGATTATCATACTAAGTGAAGCCAAAGACAAATATATCACTTATAAGTGGAATCTAAAAAAAAAGATACAAAGGAACTCATTTACACAACAAAGACTCACAGATATAGAAAACAAACTTATGGTTACCAAAGAGGAAAGGGGAGTAGGGATAAATTTGGGATTAACAGATACACATTGCTATGTATGAAACATAAACAATAAGAACCTACCATATAGCACAAGGAGCTACATTCAGTATCTTATAATAACATATAATGGAAAAGAATCTGAAAAATAATATATATATGTATAACTGAATCACTTTGCTGTATGCTTGAAACACTGTAAATCAACTATACTTCAATTTAAAAAAAAAAAGAATGTATACTTTCCGGACCAATAAAGAGGCAGGGGGAAAATTTCTTGGCTTGTTTTCAAGATACACCCAATTTTTAAGCAAATCAAATTCCTGTAAGCTTATCATCAACACAGTATTCTTTCCCTTCTCCAGAAACTAACACTTTCTCAACTTTTCTTCTTCACAACACAAAGGCAGAATAATATGGGCATGGTTTTGACCTTTGAAACTGGCTTTGCCGTGGTGACCTAGCAAGTTCTTTTACTACAGACTTTCTTTTCCTACCAGAATAGGAAAAATGCAGTAGTTCTAGAAATTCTCTATAAAGTATCCCAAACTCAAGGCTTGACTGTCTTGTACCTGCATAAGCAAAAGCTATCATAGCAACACACTATGGGAGGCAGTGTTTCACAATGGAAAGACTTAACATTTTTAGAAGGATACTAGGTTTGAATCCTGGTTCAGCTACTTATTGTGTATCTTCCAGAAAAGTCATGTGCCTTTTTTTGAATCCCATTTTTATGACCTATAAATAAGAATTATAGTAACTTTTTAAAATAAGGACACCATATAAATTACACTTAATATAGGTCCACTGTTCTTGGCCAATAAGGATCTATTTATTTGAATCTGGATTGAAACGTGGCCCACTCATTGCATTTGCTTAATAGTTCTCTTAAATACCTTTCAATCTAGAATAGTACTCCCCTGTCTCCACCTTTGTCCTGTAGATTATCCCAAGTTCTTTATTTGCCTATTGCTTCTTGATATAATTTATCCCTCAAGCCTTTACTTTTTTAATGGAGGTACTGGGGATTGAACCCAGGACCTCAGGCATGCTAAGGACCCACTCTAACACTGAGCTATACCCTCCCCACAAGCCTTTATTTTTCAAGCTGATTCAATCTTCCCCTCATTTAAACCTGTCAACAACTCACCAAAGTAAGTCAGGACAAGTGCTCCACCTTTTAGCTTACAATTCAGAGTCCTTCATACCTCATTATCTCCATCTGGCTATGGTACCACAAAGTACTTGGTTTTTATTTATTCATTTATTTTTTAACAGAGGTGTCATGCTCTCCTTCCTCTTTGCAACCACTCACTGCTTAGATTACTCTTTTCTCACTTCTTGGGACTGATTTTTGCTCCTTAGGGAGACTCAGCCCAAGAGAAAGGTTCTCTAGGATGGTTTATCACTTATCAGGCACTACTAAGGTTCTTTCATTAAATCATTGATTCAGTTAAACTTTGAGAACAATCTGATGAGGAGCTATTTTCCTCGGTTAGAAGTGTAAAAGCTGAGTTTACAATCCTTTGAATACACTTATACAACATCACATTAATTGGCATAACCACTGAAACAATACTCAATCACTACGTTGTACTGCCTACTGCCCCTTCTTCATATGCCCGCAGTATTCTCTGCTTCCCTCTACTTCTATTTCAAAGCACCTTGTATTTTTCATATTTGATATGTTCACATTTATTCACATTTGATAACATATTCCAAAAATTTTTAAGGAGAAAAAACAGGGGCTTAATGACTCCAGCATTATAACTGAAAACAGATATAACACAAACTGAGAGGTAGCAACACCTGAGAGAACTGGGTTTGCATCCAACCGCGCCACTTAACTAGCTATATGTCCCTGCCAAATTAAAATTTCTAAGGTTCAGTTTTCTTTTCACAAAGTGAGAAATAATACTATCTCACACTGTAATCATTAAATGAGAAAATAATGTAAGGCACATGTCACAGCACCTGGCATTTAACACACGTACGGTAAAAAGTTCTAAGACCATCTTATAAAATCTCAAAAGCTCTTAGAAATCTAGCCGAATCCACATACTTAGACCGTAACATTTCACACTTCATTACATTACATATTACATATATACACACGTATGTATGTATATTGATTAGCATACAAAAAGCACCGATATTTAACCTAAAAGCTGCTATGTGTCCTGTAGTTGCTAAATCCTCAACGACTAGTAAAGGCATTAACTTGCACACAGTCTCTTCCAAGCCAATCTCCCTACCTGCCCATGCCACATTATGATAGCTATGAGCCAAGGCTTCGGTGACTTCCAATCCTTGCCTAATACTTTCAAATTGGTACTTCTGAGTAGGCTAAGGAAGAAGGGGTGGGGGTGGGGGAAATGGGATTGGGGGTGGTCAGAGATTAGAAAATGGAGGCTGAAGGAAGTTTTAAGCATCTTGCCAATGTCACACAGCTAGTAAATTGCAGACCTTAACAGGAAAACCAAAATCAGAAGAAAAAAAAAACTTTTAAGAAAGTATGTATAAAAAAGGACTCTAGCACAGTGCAAGGACTATAAGGTACTCAAATCCAGTATTACTGTGCTTTCTTTTCCCAGCATACATACAAACCAGTCTTCCTAGCTTCTCAGAATCAAGCCCTTAAGTACACAGACCCTGAGCTGCACAGAACCAGCTTCGTATGCACTGTTACCACCCTATTTCAAGCCACCACGTCTCTCCCTGGATTACGAGCCGTTTTCTACTCCGAAACACAACGGAGCCTCCAATCAATTCCCTAACTCTGTAGCTAAACTGATCTTTTCATATACAATATAATCCTTTCATCTTCCAATTTAAAACAGTCTACTGGTCCTTTACTGTTTTAAGAAAATAGTTCTCAAACCGTAGCTGGCATCATAACTACCTGTAAGTCTCGGCAAAAGCCTGCTAGGTCACAGGGCCACTTTCCGATCCAGCCGCCCTCGGTATTTCTAATATGTCCCCAGGGGATGCTGCGGGCCCGGGGCCACGTGTGAACCACTGCTTGGTGGGAAACAAGGCTTAAAAGACCCACCAAGGTAGGCACTGTGCGGTCATGGTACCTAAACGGTGGCCACCACC